GACTGGTCTATCTCTGGTTGGTTTCAGCTCCCGGTTCGCTATTTCATGAAGGCTTGGCGAGAGACCTCTTCCTAGAGTCCCTGCACCGCTCCTGCTGCGCTGCGCCTCGGAGGCTATCCGCCCTGACGCGGGGGGCCGGTGCAGGCAGCCGACAGTCGCGGAGTCGCGCTGGCAGCGGCTGGCGGGTCTGGACCTCTGCGCTGTGTGGCGGAGATTCACTCGTCTAGCGTAGACTGTCACCTCCAAAAATCCTTCCAATTCCCGGCCGGTCTCTCTTTAGTGGAATTTTGCTAGGAGTTTCTCAGCAGGTCGAATCTAAGCGTATCCATGCGTCTCTCTGATCCCGTTGTTGAGGAGGTACTGAAAGCGCTGCCTCCCCTCTCGCCGCCATGTTGGAACCACAGAACATTCATTTTCCTCCTTAAAAAATTTGTTAAATTAAAAACAAGGTATGACATTCCCCTTTGTCCATGGTTTTATTTTGCAAGGTTTTAGTTGCCTGTGGTCAACCATAGTCCAAATATACTAAATGGAAAATTCTAGAAATAAACAGTTCATAAGTTTTAAATTCTGTCTGAATAATGTGATAAAATTTAACACCATCTCACTCCATCCCAGGTGAGACACGAATCATCCTTTTGGCCAGCATATTCACAGTGTTTGTGCTCCTACCTGCCTGTAGTCACTTAGTAACCATCCTAGGTCCCAGGTTAACTGTTGCAGTAGCACGGTGCTGGTGTTTGAGTAACTCCTATTTAACTTAATAATGGTCCCAAAGCACAAGAGAAGTAATGCTGGCAATTTTGTTATGGCATATTGTTATAAACTATTATATTTTATTATCAGTTATTGTTTATCTCTTACTGTGCCTAATTTATGAATTAAACTTTACCATAGGTGTGTACACATAGGAAAAAACATAGCTTTTATACAGTCATTTTTCAGGATCACCTCACAGATGTCCCAAACATGACTATATGTACTATGAAATGGTGTAATTATTTGCATATAATTTGTGCACAGTCTCCTGTATACTTGAAATTGTTTCTAGGTTACTTATACTATGTAATACACTGAAAATGCTATATGAATAGTTCTTATACTGTATTTTTAGGGACTAATGACAAGAAAAATAGAATGCACATGTTAGTTACATCATCATTGGTCTAGCTAGAGTAAATTAACAAGACTTGACATGAACAATGCTCACATAGGAGTTGGGGAAAGACTGAATATCTGTGAAATGGTCGGAGGCCATAGCAGGGTATGTGTATATACTACTTAATTTATGTGGATTTAATGTAGTGGTTGGTGTTTAGCAAATTGAAGTTTTACTCTTTGGAAATTTCTGGAACCTCTTTTGAATATACCCTATGAATAAGGAGAGCCAACTGTATAGTGTTCTGTGCTATCAGAGATTTTAGGCACCCAGTAGGCATCTGGTAATGTATCCCCCAGGGATAAGGAGAAACTGTTGTATTTGACAGTTTTAATAATAAGAAAAGATGAACAGTAAGCACATGAAATATTTGTGTATACTACTTAAAGTGTTAGTTAGTTTTGTGTGTGTCTGAGTGCATTGAAAATAAAATTTCTTGGCTGGGGATATGGCTCAAGCGGTAGCGAACTCGCCTGGCATGCGCCCAGCGCGGGGTTCCATCCTCAGCACCACATACAAATAAAGATGTTGTGTCTGCCAAAAACTAAAAAAAATAAATATTAAATTTTCTCTCTCTCTCTCTCTCTCTCCCTCTGTCTCTGTCTCTCTCTCCCCCCCCCCCAAAAAAAAAGAAAGAAAGAAAGAAAGAAAAAGAAAAGAAAATTTCTGGGCTGGGGTCGTGGCTCATTTTCCTAGCATGTGTAAGGCATTGGGTTTGATTCTCAGCACTGTATATGAATAATTAAATAAAATAAAGGTTCATCAACAACTAATAAAAAAATTTTTTAAAAAGAAAATAAAATATCTCTTGGGTTAGGAAAATTCTGAAATGAGTTCATTTAATTTGTTGTTGTTGTTTTGGTACTGGGAATTTAACCCAGAGGCATTTAACCACTAAGCCTGTCTCTAAATAAAATACAAAATGTGGATGTGGCTCAGTGGTTGACTGCCCCTGAATTCAATCCCTGGTACCAAAAAAAAAAAAAAAAAAAAAGACAGGGTCTTGCTAAGTTGCTGAGGCTGGCTTTGAACTCGAGATTCTTCTGCCTCAGCCTGTCAAGCTGCTAGGATTATAGGTGTGCACTACAGCACCTGACAAGTTGAGTTTTTTCTTTTTTATTGAAGTAAAATTCATATAACAGAACTCACAATAGTAAAACGAGCCATTCAGTATATTCACAATGTTGTGCAACTATCACCTTTACTTAGTTCCAAAACATTTTCATCTCCTTACAAGGAAAATCTTGTATCTAATAACCAGTTCCTTCCTTTTTCTTTTTCCACCATTGCTAGCAATTGCTAATCTGCTTTTTGTCTCCACACATTTGCCTTTTCTGAATATTTCATATAAATATTTCATAACATGTGATCTTTTGAATATCATTTGTGTGGATAATACCACATTTTGTTTATTCATTTGTCAACATATGAACATTTGTGTAAAAGTTTTTGTTTGAATACCTGTTTTGAGTTCTTTTGGGTATATGCCTGAGAGTAGAATTTTTAGGTATAATGGAAATTCTGTATAACATTTTTCCCCAAAAACTGTTTTCTAATGTATGTATATCATTTCATATCTCCACCAGCAATGTATGATAGTTCCAGTTTCTCTTCATCCTTGACAAACTTTTTTATTTTCCTTTTTTAATTGTAGCCAGGCTAGTATCTCGCTATAGTAAGGTAAATTTTTATATGTAGCTTTTCTGCATATAACTTACTATATATGTTAAAATTATTTTAAGTTTTATTAATTTATGTTAAATTTTTTAAATAAATATTCAACAAATTGAAATATTTCAGTGCTTTGAGTCTTTTTAGAAATATTTTTGTGACATTTAAATATGTAACTGTACTTAATTTGACTGAGATAAATTCATTTAGAACAGAAATACCCATCAGAGGAGTTCTCTGCCATAGAGGTTTCTTACTTTGCCATAGAAACTTATAGTTTAAATATGGCATATAATTATAATGTCCAAATCAAGAAAGTTTTAAAATATAGTATGTTTTATTTTTATTGAATATGAAGGATGATTAGCTGGGTGTGGTGGTGCACATCTCTAATCCTAGCAGCTCTGGAGGCTGAGGCAGGAGGATCATGAGTTCAAAGCCGGCCTCGACAATGGCAAGGTACTAAGCAAATCAGTGAGACTCAGTCTCTAAATAAAATAAATAATAGGGATGGGGATGTGGCTCAGTGGTTGAGTGCTCCTGAGTTCAATCTCCAGGACCCCTTCACCAAAAAAAAAAAAAAAAAAGATTAAATAAGGAAATTAGTAGTCATTAAGCCCAGCCTCTAGTGAGTATCACCAAACACTGTATGAATGCCTCTGGTAAAATAATTAACAGCTATTTCATAGGTAACTCATTTAATTTTAGACAGCCCTATTTGTAAGTCATAAGTTCTGTATTCTGTGCCATAGACTTGTCTTGAATGTTCATTAATCGAATCTCATTATTCTCCCTAGCTATTCAAAACAAAATACTTCCATTTTTCCACAAGAGACAGCTGAATTCTCCCAAGTTTTTTTTTCCTCTCTCTTTTCTTTATATTGGACACTTTCAGTTCTTTGTACCTACACAATTCAGAGTCATTTATCTCTATGTTCTACTTGCTTTATTTTGGACACACTGCTTTAGTTTGTGGACATCTATCCTAAAGAGATTTGTTCTAGATATGATCTGACCCACAGAATTAAAATAACACATAACATGTTTACATTGTAATTATAACCCTTGATATAGAAATATGTGTCCGCATTCTGCAAGTGAGTAAACTTATGTTCGGACAGATGAAAAAAATTTCTCAAGTTTATGCAATAAGTGAAAGAAATGAGTTTAAGGGGACTGGGGTTGTGGCTCAGTGGGAGAGCTCTCGCCTAGCATGTGTGAGGCACTGGGTTTGAACTTCAGCACCCCGTAAATAAATCAATAAAGGTATTGTGTCCATGTACAACTAAAAAAAAAATACTAAAAAAAAAGAAGTGAGTTTAATGTCTAATTCATATTTAATTGCCTGCAAAGCCATATTCTTTTCATTAATATTAATGATGTCATATTGATTAATATACCTAACATTAATTGCATAGATAATATATGCTTGACACTGTAGACTCCCATCTAAGCCTCAATTGACATACAAGGTACATTTTTATAAATGAGGAAATGGAGGCACTGAAAGTCATAATTTTCAGAATCCCACAGAATGAGTTGTCTGATTCTAAAGGCTGTACTCTTAAATATTTTACTATCCCCCGAAAATATTATATTATCCTGTCTATGCTATTCCACAATGTAGATGTATCAATAATTAGGAGCATACCTAACAGATTTTACAGTGTTTTCAAGTCTAAGATAATCTGTATCAAGGCCAGTCTGGGCAATTTAGTAAGACCCTGGCTCAACATGAAAAATTTTTTAAAAGGGCTGGATATATATTCAAGGCGTGTGTGAGATTCTGAGTTCAATAATACTGGGGGGAAAGATAATCTTCATGATTAATGTATTATTTTTCTCTCATTTCCTTTCATGCAAAAACATAACTGGTTTGCTTATCTATTGATACAGCCTTTCTAAAGAGCAGTCTGTCAATATTTAATAAAGTACTTTTATTTAAAAAGAATGACAAAAGGGCACAATGGTGCATACCTAGCTACTGTGGAGTCTGAAGCATGGGGATCAAAAGTTTGAGGACAGCCTCGACAACTCAGAGAGCCTGTCTTCAAAATGATAAATACAAAAGACTGGGGATGTAGCTCAGTGGTAGAGTGCCCTTGGGTTCAATCCCCAGTATCTCCAGAAACAAAAAGAATGACAGTGTTTTAAAATTTGTTTCTTTTAGGTCCACCTCATTCATTTAACCGAGATGAGACAATAATCATTGCTTTGGCATCTGTCTCTGTCTTAGCTGTTTTGATAGTTGCCTTATGCTTCGGATACAGAATGTTGACAGGTAAACAAAATACCACTTTTTGTCCTATCATTTATCAAGCATGCTATTAAATCAGAATTTATTTTCTTTTATTTAAATCTCTATGCTTAATGTTAAAAAAAAACAAAACTCTGTGCTACTGAAACTCCCATTCTGTCTTCAACAAAAAATTTCCCCAGTTTTTGGAAAAAGTTTCAAATTCAAACAAAATACCTGTCACCCAATTTCAACAGTTATCATATATGAGCAATATTGTTTTATGTAAATCCCCGCTCACTACCCACGTCCATGCCACTGAATTATTTTGAAGCAAATTAAGGATACCATTAATATACTTTAGGCTTAATGGGTTGTTTAGGAAATCATCAATCACTCATTCATTTAAATAATGTTAATAAAATCTTGAAAGTTTCTACTATTTCTTAGGGTTTTAAACTTTAAATTAAGTAAGTCATTATGGGAGCATCACTTAGAATTTAGCTTTCATGTTGTTTATTATTCATCTTCATTTATAGATGAATAATTCTATTCCTTCAGCTTTTAAAAAACTGTAACACAGTAAAAAGTGTAATAAAGATATAATTTTAAGAAAACTATGTTAGTAACGCTTTTTCCTGTTCTTATAGGAGACCGTAAACAAGGTCTTCATAGTATGAACATGATGGAGGCAGCAGCGTCAGAGCCTTCTCTTGATCTAGATAATCTGAAACTGCTGGAGGTAAGGTTGTTCTTAGATTGTGGACTGTTATAATAATTACCAAGTTTTGTAATTATTGCTAAGTTTCATTTGGTAATATCTCAGAAACTACTTTAAAAGTCTTAATATTATGAGTGGTTTTATGATTTTTATTAGAGATGACCTGATAACTATGGTCCCCAAACTAAATAATAGATATGATAGATTTAACTATATAAAAACATTTTAATAATTTTCTTTTTGCATAAAAATATAGTTAAGAAAGTTAAAAAGTCAAATTTGAAAAATGTTTCAATACATAAGAAAATTGATAAACAGCTGTTGTAAGTCAATTTGAAAGAAAAGATGCATAAAAATGTACAGAAGAGATGAATTGACAGTTTAGAAAAGTAAATGTGGCTAATAAATAGGTAGTAAGATGTCCAGTTTACTAGACTGAAAGAAATACCAATTAAAACATGGAATATGCTGGGCACACTGGTGCACATCTATAATCACAATCGCTCTGGAGGCTGAAGCAGGAGGATCGTGAGTTCAAAGCTAGCCTTAGCAACTGGCGAGGCTCTAAGCAACTCAGTGAGACCCTGTCTCTAAATAAAATAAAAAATAGGGCTGGGGATGTGGCTCAGTGGTTGAGTGCCCCTGAGTTCCATCCCGCCCCCCGCAAAAAGAAGGAACATTATCTAGGATTGAGTGAAAGAAACTTTACCAAACATTGCTAATTTAATTATATTTTGATACAGCCTTTGTGAAGAACAGGCTGCATGTGAAGTTTTTACCTGGAAATAATGATATATAACACATGTTTTTAAATTAATAAAGATAAATTCTCAACCCATTTCAATAAAAAGTGAGAAAAATCCCCAGAAACCAAAAATGAAGAGAATAGGTTACATTTTGCTGGTTCTTTGTATATTGAGTAATTTTTTATTGCATCCCAAATATTGTGACTATTTTATTGAGAGACCTGCACTATATCTATCATGTTCTCCTAAAGTGTGCTGATTTTTACTTATTTTAGTAAGTAACACATACTATAAACTTGTCTCTTAGGCAGAAGCTCAAGTCTTGGTTCAGTTATTTTATCTTTAGCTAGAGTCTGTCCCACGCATCCATCCTTTTCAGGATTCTATCTGCACTTTGCAGAAGCTATAGTTGCCCCAAATTACATTCTCTGGTTCTTAGGTCCAGAAAGATTATATATTTTCCCTTGTCATTTTAACTCTACTGCACAGAGCTGATTGAACCCTGCATCAAGCTAAAAAACAAAAATAGGGAACTCATCCTATGCCATTTTTCTCTTTTAAATCTTGAGGTATTTTAGAGTCTACCTCCTTTTACTTATTCTCCAGTGCCTTTAGATATTTTGTTTGTTTGTGTGTTTGTTTTTATTTTGTCCAGAGTTTCCAGTTGTTCTGTGAGACAACTAGGTTGGGTAGGAACTTCCTCAGTCATACCAGATACAGACTTCAGTAGTTTCTTGATAATGGGGTAAACTATTAGCAATAGAGATGTGTAGCATACTACATGAATTTGTGCTTCATTATTTAAGTTTGATTATTTAATTTTGATGTGAATTAATACTTTGCCTTTTTAAAAACAACTTCACAGCTGATTGGCCGGGGTCGATATGGAGCAGTATATAAAGGTTCCTTGGATGAACGTCCAGTAGCTGTAAAAGTATTTTCTTTTGCAAACCGTCAGAATTTTATCAACGAAAAAAACATTTACAGAGTGCCTTTGATGGAACATGACAACATTGCTCGCTTTATAGTTGGAGATGAGAGAGTCACTGCAGATGGACGCATGGAGTATTTGCTTGTGATGGAGTATTATCCCAATGTAAGTTCTTTAGAAGAAATAAACAATCATTGATACTAGCTGTCAGTCAGACTTTCAGGAAGACCACCATAATAAGCATTTCTAGTACGCAAATTCATTATTAATGGTCTGCAATGAGATAAAGATCCTGTGCCATAATTTGAATCAAATATATCACTAATTATACTGTTTATTCATTTCCCTCTCTCATTCTCTCATTCTCTCCCTCTCCCTTCTTTTCTATTCTTTTCTCTTTCTGTAGCCAGGTTTTCTCAGTGAAGGAAGCAGTGCTTTGATTGTCATTCATTCTGGTGTAAGCTCCTTATCTCATCAGAGACTGGTAGTGGTTTGTGGATAAGCACTTTGAGTAATACAGATAAGGAGAGTACCCCTCAGTATCCTGAGGATTGTTTTCAGAACCACTTCTACCCCCTGCAAACATACCCAAACTGGAGATGTTCAAGTCTCTTATATAAAATGATGAGTAGGATTTTTTTTTTAACATATAACCCATGAACATCATTTCTAGATTACTTACACAATAAATGCCATGTTAATAGTTGCTATTCATATTTTGTTTAGAGAATAATGACAAGAAAAAATAGTATATACATGTTCAGTACAGATACAATTTTTTTTTTGAATTTTTCTTTTTTATGGTGCTGGGGGTCTACTCAAAGCTTCGTGTATGTTAGGTACCACTGAGATGTACCCCACAGCCCCTGAATATTTTTTTATCTGGGTTGGTCAAAATTATGAATGAAAAACATGCAGATACAGAGGACACATTATATATATTTACAAAATTTTTCTGTTTTCTATTATAAACCATTTATAGTTTTGTATTAGTAACAGATATTTTTTCAAATTAATTTGATAGATCAAAAAATTTAAAAGGAAATAATCATTCATAATTTTAAATATGAATGAGACATGAAAAATTGATGCTTAAATTCTTTTCTCTTCTTTCTTCACATAGAAATGCCTTACTATTTCTTTCAAATTTCTCTAAAATGGTTCATTAAATCTTCATGGAATCCTAGCCTATGCAAATCCTTAATAAGGTTGCTAACTTACCTCTTAATGTTAAAATAAATTCATTTCAATTTTTTAATACATTTTCTTCCTCTGTAAAGGGATCTCTTTGCAAGTATTTGAGTCTCCATACAAGTGACTGGGTAAGCTCTTGCCGTCTGGCCCATTCTGTGACTAGAGGACTGGCTTATCTTCACACAGAATTACCACGAGGAGGTAAGATAATGAATAAAAGATGAATAACACATGTGGGTTCAAAATTTTAATCCTATCTTCAAAGTATGATTTGTATTATTAGGCATTTATTATTAACCAATTGTTTGAATTATTCAGCATGAGGAAATATTTGAAATGAAAGTATAAGAAAAAAACTTAAAGACTATCTAGAGGAGTCATGGATTCCATTAAGAATTTAATTAAAGCTCTAGTAATAACCATGGGAGAATACTTACAAAAATATTATTTTGGGCTGGTAATGTAGCTTAGTGGTAGAGTGTTTGCCTGGCATGATGCACAATGCCCTAGGTTTGATTTCCAGCACAGCAAAAAAAAAAAAAAAAAAAAAAGAGTGGACCTTGGGTTAAGAACTTCTTAGCTAGGCTATATTTTCCTTATTCTGTTTATTTAAATGAATTAAATGTGTAATTACTTCTTTTGTTCTATTATCACATAGGTCTTTATTCAGTAGGTTGATCTTTATTATACTTAATGTGTATTTTTATATATCCATGCTTCTACTAACTAGAATTAGATTTGGCTAAATCTGTGAGGATGGAAGGTGGGAATAACAGTAGTTTCAATAAAATGTTTTTTTTTTCCCTGATGTAAGAATCTAAAGGTCTGGGAATACAGCTTAGGGATAGAGTGCTTGCTTAGCCTGCATGAGGCCCTGGGTTCAATCCCCAGCGCGCGCACACACGTACACACACACACACACAAAAGCTACCAAACCATCCAGAATTGGATTGGTAACACCATGAGGGCCTGAGGCACTTATATTTCTTTGCACACCATCCTTAATAGGTAGCTTTCATTTTCAAAGTTATCTCATTGTTATGCTGTATCCTAGGTAGGGAAAAAAAGGTGGGGAGGGAAGAGGAGATAAATGGATTTGTTCCCTTCTATCTCCATAAGTTCCACTGTCATGTTCATGTTTTGTTTCTCAGAACTAGTCCACTCTTAGCTGCAAAAGAGGCTGGGAATATTGTTTTTGTTTTTTAAGTTTTACTGAGTGCATTGCTGCCTCAGATAATTAGTTGGCTTCTAATACTAAGTAAGAAAGGGAGAGTACATGACAAGATGTCAGTCTTTGCCAGTCTTTCAGAACTGTATTGTATTTTTTGTCACAACTACAGTCTTCCTCAGCTTTTATGCACATTTTTGCTAGTTATTGAAAGCATCTCTTTTTAATACGTTTTCTTTTTCACTTTACTTCAATATACATCTCACATCACAGGAACCCCTAAATTAGCTTGGCTGTGATAATTCTGTCTCTGTACTTTCTTAAGCTTTCATCCCCTAGCACATTTTCTTATCAAACTGTAACCCTGACATTGTTTTTCAATCTCCTGACCTCTTTAATGAAGAGAACTTTAATGTATCAGTTTCTTAGATCTTTGTTCCACTGTATAATAGCACAGATCATCTTTTCTAGCTAATGCTTCATATATAAATAATTTCTCTTGAATAATTTATTAGTTCATTTATCTAGACATCTTGATATTCCTGAGTACAGAATTGACCTATGTTACTGTCTATGTCAGCAACTTGATGCACTTACTCTAGTGCTTTAGCACATTAACCATTGGGCTGTGTGTTCCCTTACTCAATTAAATATTGCAACCCCTTTTAAAAGCTGGCTTAGTACAGAACTTAAAATACCATCCTAATTCCCCTTTCAAGCTTTGTATGATTCAGCAAGGTTTCAAGTCAAACATTGGCTGAAATTAATAAGCAGAGCTGTTACTCTCAAACATTAGCTAATATTATCACTAGTTAACTTTTTAAAAACTTCATGTAATATAAACATAAAGCTATTTAAATTTATTGCTTAAAAGTGTTCCCAAGTATACAGTAATATTTTAAAACACTTAAAGTGTCCTTTCAGAGAATTTTATTCTTCCCAGTATCTTCAGATATAATTTTTTTGCTTAGAGTATAAATTCCTTAGTAAGAAATACTACTACTACTACTACTACTACTACTACTACTATTATTATTTCAATTATTTGTTGCTTCAGAATAATAAGGAGTTGAACCTGTTTATTTGTAATTAGTTTTCCCTGTGAATTTTTCCTTATGATAATAGCAATGTGTGCTTGTTGCCCAACCAAAATCTAATATACAAAAATATGTATAAATTATTCAGACTTCACCATAAAATTACTAAGCAGTTTGTGTTTATCCTTCTGGGTCCTTTGCTCTGTATATATATATATGTGTGTATCTAAATATCCACAGAAAATTTTTTTGGTTCAGGTTTAAAAATATATATGTATTTTGTAATATATTTTGTAACATGTTTTATAAATTATAAAATATATGAAAGTATAATTAATAGATATAAATATATATACACACAAATATATTTAAAGTAATATTATACTTTTTTTTGACATATTTGCCTAATGCATTATTATGCCCAAGGCAAAATCATTGTATATTCTGCCCCTGGCTTACACACTCAAAAAGGTTAAAAAGAATACTTAGGGGAACTTAGAAGGGGAAAGTCAACTCTGTAGTTCTACCCTTTGCTTTGGTGCTGAGTCCTCTCTTCTCTCTTTTCCTCTATCTTCCCTACCGCCTTTTTTCTCTTACTCCGTTTCCCTACCTTTTCTTTTTCCTTTTTAGTAATAGCAGGAAATAACTTGTCACATATTCTTCCTCATTAGCTTAGTTTTCCCTGAAGTATGAGATCTTTAAATATTGATTTGATATTAGTATACATCATCAAATGTTTCCATAAAGTTTCCTATATAAATATTAGCTCAAGATTATGCCACTACTTCTATTTAGTTTTTTTCAGAGTATAAGAGATGTGGCTATTACAGGAATTGAGTAGAAGCCAAGTTAAATATAAGCTATGGGAGACTGGAACAGAAAGTGAGAAAGGAAGAAAATGAGAAAGAAATCAACTCTTAGATGAATAAATTTAACTCCTATTTTTTCTTCAAAATGTTTTGTTGAAAATAAAAAATTTCAAAAAAAAGGAAAAATGGAACTATGTCATTTGCAGAAAAATGGATGAAACTAGAAACCGTTATGTTAAATGAAATTAGCCAAACTCAGAAGATCGTGTTTTCTCTCATATGGAAGCAAGAGAGGGAAAAAAGAAAAAAAAGGTGGTGGGTGGGGATCCCATGAAAATCAAAGGTACATTAGTAGAGAAAAGGGACAAGGGGGTGGGAGTTGAGAAGGGAGGATGAAGTGCTGGGGAGTGATATTGGCCAAATTATAATGTGTGTATGTACAAATATGTAACAACAAATCCCATCATTATGTACAACTATAATGCACTAATAAAAATAAGTAGAAAGAGAAGAAAATGTTTTGTAGATTTAGTTTTTATATCAACAAAATGATCCTCTGTAATTTCACTGTTGATAAATTGCATTTGAATGCTTACTAATGGAAGTAATGTCTATATACTAAATCTAAATGCAAATACTAAATGCAATCATTCAATAATTGACTTGATTATAATTGTTATTGACTTGATTCTAATTGTTCTTTTTCTCTATATACCTAGGGAAATATTTTAAATTTCAGAAATTGTGACAGAGAGCTATATTTTTTTAAATACAAGGTTTATACAATGTTTCCCTATATATATAGAAAAAATAATATAATGTTTTAGATGACAGGCTTAGGTTAGCTTCAATCTTTCAATCAGCAAGAATTTACTGTTTACTCTGTGCCAGACCTTTTTAAGTTCAGATATAATATGTTCTCTTTCTACTTTCATATGTTCTCTTTCTACTTTCATGGAGCTTATGGTGTAGTGTTAAGGTTAATTAAGAATAGAATCAGTATAATACTGCTTTACTTCTGTAAAATCAAAGAACAAATTTTCATAACTTTCTAGAAGATACCAGCTTCTCTACTTGTTCTCTTGGTCCATTGTAAATTATTTCTAGTTAGATTTGAAGAGCTGAGGTGGGCTCAGAGACATGGCAAAATCTCAGGCAGAACCGGGATGTGCTGTCACAGGTTTCACCTATTAAGCTATAGAAGAACACTCTAAGGGGCTAGGGCTGGGGTTCAGTGGCAGAGCACTTGCCTGGCATGTGTAAGGCACTGAGTTCGATCCTCAGCACTGCATATTAAAAAAATAATAAAAAGGTACATCAACAACTTAAAAATTTTTTTAAAAAAGAACACTCTTAAGACGTGAAAATTTTAGAACCACATTAGTTTTTTTATTGATCTTTGTTTTTGTTTTAGACAAGCTGACTTTTTTGGTGTTTATGCCAATTTGTCAGATATGCCTTTCTATATTGCCTCCTTTTGCTGCCCTAGAAAGGAAGAGAAAAAACAAATTTGTGTTAGAATTAGAAGCAGCAGCATGTTTATTGTTAGATTAAGCTGAATATTTACTGCTTAATTACCTATACATGCAACAAGTGTTGTGTGGTAACACATTATAAAATAGTGATAAGTGAGTTAAAATTTTGGTTTCTTATGCTTTTTTTTTTTAATTAGAAAACTAAAGGGCAGAAAAATAACATCTTCTATGTTTATGTAGTTTCTGTTACTTGTATATTCATTTCATATTCAGTAGTTCTGTTTAAGCATTAATAAATATTTGAAATTGTCCAAACAGACCATTATAAGCCTGCAATTTCCCACCGAGATTTAAACAGCAGAAATGTCCTGGTGAAAAATGATGGAACCTGTGTTATTAGTGACTTTGGGTTGTCCATGAGGCTGACTGGAAATAGACTGGTGCGCCCAGGGGAAGAAGATAATGCAGCCATAAGTGAGGTGAATGTATACAAAAAACATCACACTAACATACTTTGAAATTATGTTCAGGACAATTATCCTTATAAACTTCCAGTTATAGAATATTAGGAATTATAAAATTAAGAAATACCAAATACATTGCATAAAAGACCTTTTAAAATTATCAGTTCATTTTGAAAATCACTGTCATTCTAAGTCATTTTGACAAACATTAAGGAGTATGCAGGAATTGATTTTTGAAGCAAGAGTAGAGTTCCCAATTTTGATATAAGATCGTTCACTATCTGACAGTCACTATTGCAATGTTAAACATATCCTTCCTTACCCTTTTCTCTGTATTCACATACACATGTCTATATATACATACATGTATTTTTGTGACTTTTAAAAATATTAGGGGGCTGGGGCTGTAGCTCAGTAGAGCACCTGCCTTGCATGTGTGAGGCACTGGGTTCGATCCTACACATCACATAAAAATGAAGGAATAAATAGAGATATTGTGTCCATCTACAACTAATGTGTACGTATATATATATACATATATATGTATATATATATATACATATATATGTAAAATATATATTAAATTATATACACAATGTTTTATAATTTTCTTACTATGCCTTAAGTTTTTAAAATTGATACACATGGGAATTCCTAGTTTATTCTTTCTGATTGATGAATAGCATTTGCTGAAATGAATTTTCCACAGTTCAGTTGTTCAAAAAGGGCACAGTTGAGATAAATTATTTATGTCAGTGACATGCTTAGGGTCAAATAACATACCACATTCTATTTCTGAAAGTATCACTCTAATTTATCAGGTTGGCACAATTAGATATATGGCACCAGAAGTGCTAGAAGGAGCTGTGAATCTGAGGGACTGTGAATCAGCTTTGAAACAAGTAGACATGTATGCTCTTGGATTAATCTATTGGGAGATATTTATGAGATGTACAGACCTCTTCCCAGGTAAGAACTGCTGTCATAAGTTGATGTATATTTTGAAGTGAAACTGTTATATCTCTGTCTCACATATATTAAGTAACTCAGTTTTTATGGAAACGTCTTTTTTACTTTTGTTTAAACCTTTAGTTCATTGCCATCTAGTGTTCAGAGACATTATTAGAAGATGTGAATCAGAACATTGTTTTTTTTTTTGTTTTGTTTTGTTTGTTTTAAAAAGGACTACAAGTTTTCATCTGAGTACAATTTGAATTAATTGCCAGTAATGGTTTTTCTATGTTAATCTCTGCTTTAGGTGTTGTCTTTTTCATGATGGACTCTATGAACATTGAGATAAGCTACATTTGTTTCTTGAATTGACATTTATAAGGAATTAGAAGCAATGGGTTATTTGTTTTTTTTTTAATATTTTGTGATGTGATTTTTTTATTATTAATTGTTCAAAACATTACATAGCTCTTGACATATCATATTTCATACATTTGATTCAAGTGGGTTATGAACTCCCATTTTTCCCCCGTATACAGATTGCAGAATCACATTGGTTACACATCCACATTTTTACATACTGCCATACTAGTGTCTGTTGTATTCTGTTGTCTTTCCTATCCTCTACTATCCCCCCTCCCCTCCCCTCCCATCTTCTCTCTCTACCCCATCTACTGTAATTCATTTCTCTCCCTTGTTTTTTTTCCCCTTTCCCCTCACTTCCTCTTATATGTAATTTTGTATAATGATGAGGGTCTCCTTCCATTTCCATACAATTTCCCTTCTCTCTCCCTTTCCCTCCCACCTCTCGTCCCTGTTTAATGTTAATCTTCTTCTCATGCTCTTCCTCCCTGCTCTGTTCTTAGTTGCTCTCTTTATATCAAAGAAAACATTTGGCATTTGTTTTTTAGGGATTGGCTAGCTTCACTTAGCATAATCTGCTCTAGTGCCATACAATGGGTTATTTGTAAACACATTTTCTTTTTCATTCTCCCCTTTTTCCCCTACATCTTCACCTCCCTCCCTCTCTTTTTTATTTTCTCCTCCCGTATTCTCTTTCCATTTCCCTCTGTCTTTCTGAACTTCTCTTCTTCTCCCTTCTTTCAGTGAAGGAATATTCATTTAATATGATTGCTTCTTTGAGGTTTACTTGAAATAGTCAAAGTGATTTATAGCTTTTCTCCCCTTGTTAGAATTTTACATCATCACTATTATCATATAAAAACTTTATCAATCTGTATATCCCATTCTCCTGGATACTATACAAAAAGATTTGATATATGCAGTCTTATAGGAATAATACCATGAAAAGCATAGAAAAGAGAGCTAGCATTGGACAAATTTATGAAGTAGATCTGTTTAATAAAAACAAATTCATAGTGAGGTTGAGTTGTTTTTGCTTTAAAGGCATTAAGCATTAAAAATTAGTCTATAATTCTAAATAGATAATGAAATGAATTAATGGTTATTTAAATTAACTATAGGTCATCCAGTTACTACCCAGAAATGTGTGTGTATGTGTATGTACACATGTGTGTGTGTGTGTGTGTATATATAATAGATGTATATAATATATTTCTGGCTCTTTATATTTTTGACACAGAGTCTCACTAACTTGCCCAGGCTGACTTCAAACTTAAGGATCCTTCTGCTTCAGCTTCTGGAGTCACCAGAAGTACATTCTAGTTAATTAGAAGTACAGAGTCTCAATTGAGGCATTTTTCTGAAAACAGCAATAATTCTCATAATATCACAAGGATTCTATTTTTAGAATTTTGGCACAGGTTTTTTTTTTTAACATTCTAATCTAGTATTTTGGTTTCAGAAGCATGTCTGACTAAAATGATCTTTCATCAGTATTAGTATACTGTCACCAGCAACATAATTTTTAAAATTTTTACTAATTTTTCAATAATCAAAGAATGACTATTGCTTTTGATCTTATAAATAATGAAGAGTGCTATCAGGGGCTGAGGTTGTAGTTCAGTGGTAGAGGGACTTGCCTTGAATGTGCAAGGCCAGCACCACATAAGCATTAAAAAAGGCAATATCAGATGTTTGATGGGGAATGACGATTAGGTCTTATTACACAAAATTGTTTTAACAAATATGTAGGATGGGTTAAAATAGAAAAGAACTAGAAATAATTAAAATTGAAAAAAGAAATGGGGTTTATTGTTCAATGGGTAGAGAGTTTCAATTTAGGGAGATAGAAATAGTTCTAAAGGTAGATGATGATGTTTGCACAACCGTGTGAATATAATTAATGCCACAGAACTATACACTTAAATATGGTTCAAAAAATGGTTCAAATGCTAAATTTTATGTATATTTTACCATAGTGAAAAGTAAAAATAATGGAATAAAAAAAGAATTGCTTTAAGATATCTTATAATCTCACTATGGAAATGGTGAAGGAGTAGTACATCTGAGAGCAAATGCAGAGAAAGCTGTATTAGCTGTTAGAAGAATTGAGAAGCATTCAGAGGTCTGAGAAATAGTGAGGATAGCAGCCACAAGTTTAGGAATAGATCTTGGTTTATATTAGAAGGTTAATTTAATTGTGGATGTGTTTGGACAAGGTATTGATAAACAACTGGAGAATTTATTTATTTTTAACTTTGAGTGTGTGTGTGTGTAGTTATAGATGGATAAAAGACTTTTATTTTATTTATTTTTCTTTATGTGATACTGAGGATTGAACCCAGGGCCTCACACATGTTAGGCAAGCGCTATACCACTGAGCTACAACTGCAGTTCCTTAAGAGTTTATTTTTAAAGACCTTAAAAAAAAGATATTGAGAAAATTAAGATTAAAGTAATTCAGTGGTAGAGTACTTGCCTAGCATGGGTTCCCCAGCACCAGAGAGAAAGAGACAGAATTTATGAGTACATGTACTCCTATATACAGAACAAATGAGAAGAGAGAAAAATTGGTTATTAAAGATTGGATATTGGGGCATTCCCCCACCAAGAAGATAAATGATCAAAAAATAATAAGAAAACTTGAAAATCATAGTGTCTTTTAGAAGTCAATGTTAGAAATCTTTAAGAACTAAGATTTATGACAATAAATGTAATTCAAAGTCAAGATGAAATAGAACTGAGGAATGGTGTTTTAATTTGAATGGGAGGAGGTCATTGGCATTTTTTTAGAGGAGTTTCTGTGAAATAGAGAAGATAACAATCATATTACAGGGGATATAGGAAGAAAATTGTTAAGAAAGCACAAGGCACTTTGAAAAAATTTTAACAATGAAATGGGGTGGAAGTTGAAAGAAAAAAGGATCATATAAATTCATTAATAAACCTAGAGAATAGCATATAATAATTATAAAATTCTAACAAGACATTTTAAATTTTTATGATATACCTCAAAATGCAGTACATACTTTATTATTAAATGGAAACATTGTTTAATAAAGCTCTCTATATAAAATATTAGTAAAATAAATGAATTATGTGTCCTTATTATAAAGGAAGAGTGAAATGCTACAAAGTTTAAATAAAGGAAAGGGAAGGAAGAAAGAATAAGAGAATGTAAAAGGAAGAAAGCAAATAAGTATAATTTGAGAAGGGAACTAAAAAGTCTCTAACTGGTAGAGACCTAATTAGCAAATGGGGTGAGAAGCAGGGAATGGTATGGGATAATGTTGAATTCTTGATCTGTCCTGGACACTTTGAAAGAAAATGAGATTGTAAAACTTCCTTTGAGCAATTCAATGATTATAAAGTTTTAAGGAAATCCAGTGAGTCTATTATCTCCCATGACAAGTTTGTTATTAACATTCATTTTTGTGCTCACATTAAGTTAGCTCTAAACAAGTATCTATTGAACAATTAGATGTATAACCATGAAGATTTAGTAGATTTTTATTTATTTGCTAATTTTTTAAAAAAATTTTTTCTGGTACAGGGGCGTGAATCCAGGTATATTCCACATCTGCTATGTATCCCCAACCCTTTTTAATTTTATTTCAAGACTGGGTCTTACCCGGTTGTCTAGGCTATCCTCCAATTTGCAGTTTTCCTGCTTTAACTTACCAAATAGGTTTCACAAGTGTGCACCACCACACTTGATTTCTTTGATAATTCTTAATGTCACTGCATTCATACAAGATTGCACATCAATCTCATTTAGCAAGTTTTCTAGTTAAATTTGAACATAATTGAAACAAATAAGTAGAATTGTGTATTTTTAATTATTTTACTAAGCCAACATTTGAAGAATAGCAGCTAATAAATAATACTTGAAATATATGTGTATGTATGTGTTCTGTGTATATCTCAAGAGACATATATACTATATACTAGTAAATATATTGTAGTTCACAGATGGCATGAATTGAGGTTTTATAATGAGTTTCAAGGAAAAAATGATATGCTAACTGGCATGATTTAACAGATTTGTCTCTCAAGTTCAGTGTTAATAGTAATTGGTCAGAACTAAGTATTGCTTCAGAGTTCACAGTATGAAAAAATATTACTTGTATTTATAGGTAGTATCATATTCTAATAACTTGGGCTCTGCTGTATAGATTACGGAAATTATAGAATTAATCAGTAATTTTTTAATACTGTTGAAGGAATTTATGGATTGTTTTGGAAACATAATACAAGGGGCTGGGATTGTAGCTCAGTGGTAGAGTACTCACCTTGCATGTGAAAGGCACTGGATTTGAGCCTTGGCACTCCATAAAAATAAACAAATAAAGGTATTGTGTCCATATACAATCAAATATATATATACTTTTTATATATACTATATTTTATAAATATAAAATATATTGCAGTTCACAGATGGCATTTTATATTTTTTTAAAGAGAGAGAGAGAATTTTTTAATATTTATTTTTTAGTTTTCGGCGGACACAACATCTTTGTTTGTATGTGGTGATGAGGATCGAACCCAGGCCGCACGCATGCCAGGCAAGCACGCTACCGCTTGAGCCACATCCCCAGCCCTATATTTTATATTTATATTTTATAGTATATATATATATATTTTTAATTGCATATGGACACAATACCTTTATTTTATTTGTTTATTTTTATGCAGTGCCAAGGCTCAAACTCAGTGCCTTAGACACACAAGGTGAGTCCTCTACCACTGAGCTACCATATGTGTATGTGTGTGTGTGTGTGTGTGTTTGTATGGTTAAATGAGTTTTCTGAAGTAGAGATGCTCTCAAGATTAGAACCTAACTGCCCTAATCCCCATCCTCGTGTTCTTCCTTCTAATTTATTAGGTCATTTCAATAGGCTGGGACAGGGATGAGGATCCAGGAAGTGTCTAGTTCTCCTGGTTCTTTGCCAAGATTTCCACTAGACCATTGGTTTTCAAAGTGTTGGTCCCAGGGGTCTTCTGTATGGCACAGTATGTTTATTAATAAATTTAATTTTATCAACATTTTATTAAGTCAGGTGCAGTGGTGTTTACCTGTAATCTCAGCACTCAGGAGGCCGAGGCAGGAGAATCGCCTGAGTCCAAGAGTTCAAGACCAATGTGGGCAACTTAGCAAGACCCTGTCTCAAAAAGAAAACGGAAAGGTCTAGTGTTGGGGCTCAGTGGTAGATCACTTGCCTGGCATATGTAAGGCACTGGATTCAGTTCTCAACACCACATAAAAATAAATAAATAAATAAATAAAATGTATTGTGTCCATCTATAACTAAAAAATTAAAAACAAAACAAACAAACTGTCCAGGGGTATAGGTATAGAGCTAGAGGTATAGCGCAGTGGTAGAGTTCATTCTTAGCATGTACAAGGCCCTCAGTTTGATCCCTAGCAGCAATTAAAAAAAAAAAAAAACCTTCTTGTCATTGAAATTACCATTTGATTTCTTAAAAATGTTTGAGACTATTCTCAGTATTTATTAATAAAGCATTAAACCTATAACAGGATTTCTAAATACCTGAAAGGTTTTAACATGTACAATTTCTTTTGCTTACCTGCTATCAAAAATACCCCTATCATTCTCACTTATGATAATAGAAAATATTGTCATTCTTTTCTACACACGCACAGGTGAATCTGTACCAGAATATCAGATGGCTTTTCAGACAGAAGTTGGAAATCATCCTACTTTTGAAGATATGCAGGTTCTTGTATCTAGGGAAAAACAGAGACCCAAGTTCCCAGAAGCCTGGAAAGAAAATAGCCTGGTAAGAAAAAATTATTTTTTTACTAGATATATTTTAATGTTCTTTGAAGCAAAAATAGACAGTTAATAATGTTAATAGTTTTTAGAGTTTTCTAATACCAAAAATCCAACTTACTTGATTTTTATGATGTTATATGTTATCAAAATTTTTTATATACAAAAAGTCCCCAATTTTGGTTCAGTTTTAGTTTTTTCCAAATATAAAATACTGTTTAGAGACTAATAATGTGTCTGAAGTTCACTAGATTGGGTAACAGCTAGAATAATTAATATGTTAATATTTTAAACATTATTAAAATTACATCTTATTCTCTTTAGAATAATACCAAAAACATTACTTAGTGCATACTTACAGACTGATAAATGGCTAATAAAAATATGATTTAGCACTAGAAAAATTAGGGATAACAGGAACATATCTTAACATCGTAAAGGCTAAGCCCCAGGCCAACATCATTCTAAGTGGAGAAAAAATTGAAGGCATTCTCTCTAAAAACTGGAACAAGACAGGGATGCCCTCTTTCACTTCTATTTAACATAGTTCTTGAAGTACTGGCCAGAACAATTAGACAAACAAAAGAAATGCATAGGAAAAGAAGAACTTAAATTAGCACTTATTTGCTGATGATATGATTCTATACCTAGAAGACACAAAAAGTTTCACTAGAAAACTTCTAGAACTAATCAATGAATTCAGCAAAGTAACAGGATATAAAATCAACATCCATAAATTACAGTCATTTCTGTATATCAGTGACAAATCCTCTGAAAAGGAAATGAGGAAAACTACTCCATTTACAATAGACTCAAAACAAATAAAATACTCGGGAATCAATTTAATGAAAGAGGTGAAAGATCTCTACAATGAAAACTACAGAATGTTAAAGAAAGAAGTTAAAGAAGACCTTAGAAGATGGAAAGATCTACCTTGCTCTTGGATAGGCAGAATTAATATTTTATCAAAATGGCTATACTACGAAAAGCACTATACAGATTTAATGCAATTCCAATCAAAATCCCAATGACATTCCTCAAAGAAATAGAAAAAGCAATCATGAAATTCATCTGGAAAAAATAAGAGACCCAAAATAGCTAAAGCAATCCTTAGCAGGAAGAGTGAAGCAGGTGGCATCACTTTACCAGACCTTAAACTATACTACAGAGCAATAGTAACAAAAACAGCATGATATTGGCACCAAAATAGACTGGTAGACCAGTGGTACAGAATAGAGGACACAGAGACAAACCCACACAATTACAGTTATCTTGTATTAGACAAAGGTGCCAAAAACATACATTAGAGAAAAGATAACCTCTTCAACAAATGGTGCTGGGAAAACTCGAAATCCATATGCAACAAAATGAAATTAAACCCCTATTTCTCACCATGCACAAAACTCAACTCAAAATGTATCAAGGACTTAGTAATTAAACCAGAGACCCTGAACCTAATAGAAGAAAAAGTAGGCCCTAATCTTCATCATGTGTAATTAAGCCCCAGCTTCCTTAATAAGACTCCTATAGCACAAGAATTAAAATCAAGAATCAATAAATGGGATGGATTCAAACTAAAAAGTTTCTTCTCAGCAAAAGAAACAATCTGTGAGGTGAATAGAGAGCAAATTTTTACCCCTCACACATCAGATAGAGCACTAGTCTCTAGGATATATAAAAAACTCAAAAAGCTAAACACCAAAAAAACAAATAACCCTATCGATAAATGGGCCAACGACCTGAAAAGACACTTCTCAGAAGAGGATATACAGTCAGTCAACAAATGTATGAAAAAATGTTCATCATAACTAGCATTTAGAAAAATGCAAATCAAAACTATTCTAAGATTTCATCTCACTCCAATCAGAATGGCAGCTATTAAGAATACAAACAATTAAGTGTTGGCGAGGATGTGGGGAAAAAAGTACACTCATACATTGTTGATGGGACTGCAAATTGGTGCAGCCAATATGGAAAGCAATATGGAGATTTCTTGGAGAACTGGGAATGGAACCACTATTTGACCCAGCTATCCCTCTCCTCTGGTCTATACCCAAAGGACTTAAAAACAGCATACTACAGGGACACAGCCACATCAATGTTTATAGCAGCACAATTCACAAATAGCTAAACTGTGGAACCAACCTAGATACCTTCAGTAGATGAATGGATAAAAAAAAATGTGGCATATATATACAATGGAATGTTACTCAGCAATAAAAGAGAATAAAATCATGGCATTTGCCTAAATGGATGGAGTTGGAGAAGATAATGCTAAGTGAAGTTAGCCAATCCCCAAAAAACAAATGCCAAATGTTTTTTCTGATATAAGGAGGCTGATTCATAGTGGGGTAAGGAGGGGGAGCACGGAAGGAATAGACAAACTCTAGATAGGGCAGAAGAGTGGGAGGGGAAGGGAAGGGGGCCATTGGGGTTAGAAATGATGGTGGAATGTGATGGACATCATTATCCAAAGTACATGTATGAAGACACGAATTGGTGTGAACATACTTTATATACAACCAGAGATCTGAAAAATTGTGCTCTATATGTGTAATATGAATTGTAATGCATTCTGCTGTCATACATAAAAAGATTAATAAAGTAAAAAAAATGTAGTTTAGATTTAAAAGTACTCAAGTTTAAAAATCTTCTTACTAGGGGCTGGGATTGTGGCTCAGTGGTAGAGCTCTCATCTAGCATGTGTGAGGCCCTGGGTTCAATCCTCAGCACCACATAAAAATAAACAAAATGAAGGTATTGTGTCCAACTACTTCTAAAAATACAAATTTTTTTTAAAAAAAAAACTTCTTATTAAAAATGTAGTTCACAGGATTGGGGATGTAGCTCAGTGGTAGAGCGTATGCCTAGCAAGCATGAGGCCATGAGTGGGATCCTCAGTACCACCAAGGAGAAAAAAATGTAGTTTACAGTAATGAAGTTTCTTCAAAGACTCTTGTCATTTGAGTAAATTATTGTTAAAAATCTGAAAACATCTTACCAATATTTATGTATTCACACTCATTCATAAGATTGTTTTATATGAGTAGGATTAATTTATAATATATGGTAATTTCTGAAGTTTATTTTTTAACTTATAATTTTTAATGTTATCAACTACATATACTATCTCATTTTCTCCACTTAGTCCATATTCTATTGGACATCTCAATCTTCACTCCTTTGAAACCACTTCTCCATTGCCCTCTGATTTCCAGTCTTGCTAATGAGAATTGTGTTGTGAGCCTGTCTCATTTTGTTGCTTTTTGTCTCATGTTTTTTTTTTTAATTTTTATTATTGGTTGTTCAAAACATTACATAGTTCTTGACATGTCATATTTCACACATTTGATTCAAGTGGGTTTGTCTCATGTTTTTATCATCTTATTTCCTCTTTTATATAATCTTTTAAGACTTTTGCTTTATCATTGAAATTGTGAAATTTCATATTATAATTATTGTACCCTTTATTGATGAGAGTGACCTGTTTTTCCCTTTTAAAAATAAGTTTTATGGGGTAAACAAAAAAAATTAAACAGAAAGTCATAAGAAAGAAAAGGGGAAAAAACACCCTCCCTTACTACCACTGTTATAACTCCCCTTAGCAATGTTCTGGGCTCTCTTCCCCTTCCAGAGATTACCATTGTAACTCAAATGCTAAATTTAGTCCTATTTGATAAATTTTCTTTCATTTACCCTCTCTCAGTTTTGTAATATTCCATCTATTATTAGATAATTTATATTTTTGTCTACAGATTTCTCTAAAATTTAAATAAAATAAAAACAGAATTTTGCTGAATTGTGATTATATAAGTACTTACTGCTAACAAAATATTGTGCTTGGACTCAGAATATAAAAGTCCTATATTGGATACTGTAACCCCCTGCTGCTTTAGGGAGGATGTTTCAGAAATCATCATCCAGTGGATTATCTTTGATTTCTTGTCATCTTTCTTTTTCTTTCTCTTTCTTTCTTTCTTTCTTTTTCTTTCTTTCTTTCTTTCTTTCTTCTTTCTAGGGTCTCCTTAGAAGTAACATTTTTAAAAATTTCATGTCATTCTCTTTCTTGCAAATTGTTTTTTCTTTTTCTTTCTTTTCTTTTTTTTTTTTTTTTCCTTTTTGTTGTTGTTGTTTGTTTGTTTGGTACCAGGATTGAAACCAGAGGCACTTAACCATTAAACTATATCCCCATCTTTTTTATTTTTTATTTCGGAACTGGTCTCACTGGGTTGGGTCTCACTAGGTTGCTTAAAACCTTGCTAAGTTGATGAACCTTCTATCCTCTTGCCAAAGCTATTGGGATTAGCAAATTATTTTTTCTTTCATGAATTTTCTCAAGTAATTAGTGTTAGTACTTGCATTAGGTGGTAAACATTATGAGTTCTTCCATGTTCAAAAATGTGTCAGTCTTGGGGCTGGGGTTGTGACTCAGTGGTAGAACGCTCGCCTATTGCGTGCGGGCCCCTGGGTTTGATCCTCAGCACTACGTAACAATAAATAAATAAAATAAAGGTATAAAAACATGTGTCAGTCTTGACCTCACACATTAGTAATAATTTGGCTGAATAATGGTTTCAAAATCAAAATGAACTTCACACCTTTGAAACCACTTCTCCATTGCCCTCTGGTTTCCAGTCTTGCTAATGAGAATTCTGATGTGAGCCTGTCTCATTTTGTTGCTTTTTGTCTCATGTTTTTATCGTCTTATTTCCTCTTTTATATAAGCTTTTAAGACTTTTACTTTATCATTGAAATTGTGAAATTTCACATGGATGTATATTGACATGAATCTTTTCACTCATTTCACTTGTCACTGAATGGATTTTTCAGTTTGAAAATTCAGAACTTGTTCGGCTGGTGACACATGCCTGTAATCCAATAACTCTGGAGGCCAAGACAGAATTGAATGTTCAAGGCCAGCCTCAGCAATTTAGCAAGTCCCTAAGCAATTTAGCAAGACATGTTGCTAAACATGTATCTAATACATGTTTAAAAATGTCTCAAAAT